AGGTGTTATTTTAATTATTTCTGCTTTGGGGAGCCTAGTTCTAACATACAAACCCTCAGGACGAAGAACACTAGAGATGGAAATGGGAAACTTCAGGATTCTAAATGAATTCCCAAAAGTCCAAGATCGTTCTTTATTACATGGAATGAAATCTTCAGAAATTCCTTAGGAAAAAAATATTTCAAAAACAGACTTCACAATTTTGTAGTTAAAGATTAGCTAAGAATCAATTTTGAAAGATCCGTGAACACTGCATTTTTAAATTAACTTATATAGAATCTGAAAAAGCCTATAAATATAGATCTATATCACCTCTGTTCCACAAAATATATACTAAGATTTAAAGATCAATTAAAGCTGACACAGTCACATCAAATCCCTAAAGAAAATTTTAGCAAAATTCTTTTTCCTTAAGAGAAAAGCAGCATTCTTTTCAGTTACTCCAAGCACACAGTATTACCACTCATGTTAGCAATCACTCACTCATTCATTCTACTAATGAGTAGAATTCTACAAATTAGTACAAGTATCTACTAATTATTATGTGCCAGGTATAGCACTGTCTTCTACGGAAAGCATACACACACAGAGAATCACAAACTTAACTTCATAGAACACAGGGAAAATAGTAGCATACAGCTATGTCGTATTCTCACATAACGCAACCTATGCCCAGTTTCTGAGGTAATGTCTGGGTCTGTCTGCTTAGCTCCAAGGTTTTTTATATCAATCCTCCAATAGGTAAAACTAAACCATAGGAAGGAGCTATGAATGGCTCAGTTTATTTACCTTAAGAGAACTAATGCTACTAGTAGAACATAACACCACCCCCGCAAAGTGAAGGAGAGAATAAGAAGGAAAAAGGACAGAAAATAATGAGCATTAATGAGAATGCTGGCATGACAGAAAAGAGATCTCACATGAGCAACTGCTGTGACCAGGGAGACTTTGGACAAAGGTGGGTGAGGGATTCTCTAAATTAGGACATTTGTTAATGTTTCCACTGGTGTGATGGTCAACCGACTTCTGTAAAAAAAAGTTAATTTATTCTCAATTTTTTAAAATACTGAATTAATGAGTCTTTCCAGATTGGCCTCGTAGTAGTCCCCATTATATTAGAGTTACAATCACAATGTCACCTTGCATTACTACATAGTTGTGACCCTCCATGAAAAAACAGCACTGAATTTCCTCAACCATCTATGCCAAACCTAAATCCTGAGCCACTATCATTCATAGCCACTTACATTATATTCTTTGTGGCATTTTCCAAAGAATTTCTGGAACTCAGTACTTCTAGCATCTTACCTTCTTTTTTGGCAATGCTTTTCTAAATAAAATGTGCCTCTAGATGTCAGTTTATCACCTCTCTCAAGATCAAAATGCTAAATGAAGAGAATGAGTAAGTAGATTTTTTTTAAGGAATTTTTAATTGAATAGGCTTTTGTTCACACTGGTAAATTTGTATTAATGTAAACCTATTCTATAAACCTAAAAATTTTATTTATTAAAATGTGATCTTCCTGAAACACATAAGTGAGGCAGAGCCAACACCAGTCAGCACCAGTATCCAGGAATGGTAAAGACGAACTGCTAGCAGATATATGGCCAAGTCTATCATTTGTGGAATTAGGAAACAAATTTTCTTTTTAACTGGCTTCGCATTTCTACAATTTTAAAACCATCACAAATGCAAGCTACTTCTATAGTTTCTTTCTTAGGTGGTAGGAAGCCAGTAGAGAGGGAGTCAATTACCCAAACTTTAATAGAGAGAAAAAAATCCTTCCCCAGTTTAGTAAGTCTGGCTTAACTAATAAGTAAACTAATTAACTTTCCACTTTTAAGACCAACTTCAGCTCAAATCAGATGGTGTTCTGAATACCACCCAAGAACTGACAACCTCTCTGAAACCATTTACTCCCCTGAGTACAATCAAGGGAGGACTGCAGAGCCTCCAGATGGTCTGAGGACTGCCCTCAAAATGCAAGGGTGAGATGTGTAAGTGCCAGCTAGTTCTCATCAAACAAAGGAGGGGACTTGAAATGACTGGACTACCAGAAATCCAACCATCCTGCCTCAAAAGCTGCCTAAAAATACAAAAATAAGTTTGTACCATTACTGCAGATAACAGTAAATTAAGACTCCCTAAATAAAGTAGTAATTGATGAGAATTTTAGTGGGACCGCCACCGTTTTCCCAGCTTTCTCCCAAGTTAGCTAGTACTTCCAGTCCCTTATTCTGCATAATTCACTGCAACTAAGGAAGCCTTTGTACCAGCACATCACCTTGTTTGACACTGAATCACATGGCTCAAGTATGAAGATTCAAATGAGACTTTTCATTATAAATGCTTCCACTATCAAAGTGTGAAAACACATTTGAAAATGTGCCACATACTGTTACTGGGGGAAAATGTGTCTTTACCCATTGCACCATTACTTTGGGTCTGACAACAGTTCTAAGCATAACATTTCAGAAGTACTTGGTGATTTAATATTTAAATTGCTTCCTGAATAGCTCATGTTGAATACTCAGAGTATTAAGCTTGATTTCTCTAAAATTTTCATCCAAGGCTTGTCACCTTTCATGTAGGTCAAACTATGGATTTTTTGCTAAGAAGTAAATCCTTCCAAAACAGATACATAACTGAAGTTAGAACCAAGAAACTGAAGTTTACAATAAATTTTTCATAGTACTGACATTTAGGCTCAGAATTCATTTTCATTCTATTTTATGTGATTTTTTTCTTTTTTTTCTTACATTTCCTCAGGTTCTGGAAAGTTATTTGCTATTTCAAGGAATCACAAGTAGTACCAGAAACCAGATATACTGAAACCATTGGTAAACTATAGAGAAATCAACTTTTCCTTTCAAATTTCCTTCAAAGTTACTCCACAGAGATTTAAACAAAAATAAGAACAGAAATGTCTTGACATTTTCTACAAAAAATTTAAAAGACTCTATTTCCATCTTTGGTGCATTATGCCACCACAGTGGCCACTGCTTCCAATGGTTGTCAATCTAGCATCGATTTCCCTTTTCCACCTTTATAACTGAAGCAACTTTGTCCTCATATCTACCCCTCCCCCTCATTCTGCATTGGAAGTCCTAGGGATGGGCCCTAATTTAATCAAACCAACTTTGCCACTGACCAACTCAAGAACATAATGCACCCAGGACATGGTATTCTCCCAGAGACTGTTATGCTAAGCACAAGTGAACACTCAGCTGTTCACCCTCTCCCCACCCCCCATCTTAAGGTAACTGAGTATCAGGGGCCTTTCCATTGCCTGCTGAATAAATCCCAAGCTCAGCGTTCATGTCTCTCTACCATCCTTATACTATCTGTTTAGCTTCTTTTCTTTTGTACACATCTCCTGCTCTAGCAGCCCAAAGACTGTCCTTTCAAGAATATATCCCTACACTTCCCACTTCATAGCTTTTGTCCAGGGAAGCCCATCAACTCCCATCTCAGCCGATTCAAATCCTATGAAAAGTCCAAAAGTAAACTTTTCCATGAAGTCTTCCTTGATATCACCATTAATAAGTAGCACTCATCATATATTCCTTATATTCACCATTTATTTGTGTATTCTTACAGCCTGTTTCAAAATTGCAAACTCCTTGAGGGCTGTGGACAAACTGTTGTGCATCTTTTCTTCCACCACCATCTCTCTCCACCTGACACCCAACTGCAGAATGGTAGCTCAGAAAATACTGTTGAACAAATGAACATATCTGTTCATTTTTCGAAGGTGAAAGCTGCCTCTGCAGAACAGATTATCATGAAGGTTGAAATGTCCTTGGAAGTCTTTAAAAACGACCTAGGATAGCTTAGGGAAAGTTTTGCTGAAGGAAATGAAACAAATCAGATGGCCTTGCAAGGCTGATGCCATGAATTATATCAACTCTGTGAAAGTATTGTTAATAATTCAAAAACTACCTGTACAAATGCTATTTACAAAAAGAGAACAGTGTTTACTGTAATATACAAAGGTTAACAACAGATTTTTTACCAAAAAATTCAGCTGTTCTTATAGTAATATTTGTAATATTTTCAGTTATGTCCAAGGGATTGTATAAAAAGCCCATTTACTCTCTCATTTCATCCTTGAAGAAAGCAGGACAGAGAAAAATGTTGGCCCTCTTAAACTGGGAACCAGACAAAATTAATTTGGAAACACATACTGATGTCACTTAAATATTTTCTACACATCCTCACTAAAAATGCACCTATTGAACTCCAGGAAAGTTATCTGTAATTTTGATGATTTCCTTCGGATTGACTTCTATGGAAAAGGTGTGCAAAGTTTTGTATTCCCTTCTCCTCTACTCAGTGACTGTACAATTTAAGTCTGCTAAAATTAGGTCACTTCAAGATCTCTAAGTACATACTCACTTCAGATAAAGCCATAAAACTATGAGAAACATACTGATATCTCCAGAAAGAAACAGGGTTAACCACACAATATTCCATAAACCATTGAACCTGCTTTTTAAGTTAAACCCTTCAGAATAAATCTCTGTAAATCTCAACAATCAGCTAAATGGGACCAAAACACATGATTCCACTGGACAGTGCACTCACAAATGAAAAGGGCACCACCCAAGATGAAAATCGGTGTTTAAATATGATGGCTATTCACAGAAAATAGAATTTAAGAAAGATTAAGTAGAGCATAGAAAATTATATCTTCTTTTAAGAAACCGTTAACAAGAAAATTAAACGGATTTATTCCTTTTGTTCTAATATTGTGATGTTATTTTTGAAAGGCAATTTAAATCGTTTGGGGAAGAAGCAAGAGTAGAAAAAAAGTAATTCTTGTTTTTGCAGACAGTGCGGCATACTATATAGCTCTTTTCAAAATAAAGATCACGTTTTCCGTCAAACCTGCATATGGTAAAGCTACAATTCAAAGTTTTCTGAAATATTTTGAAGCATCTCTAGTTTTCCTGGAGCCGCCTGGTAACGGAAAGTGATTGTGAATACAGTTTCTCACCGGACCGGCCAGTAAAGGAGTCCGCTGTCTGAAACGAGCCCCGCGGGGTCCGAGTCAGGGCCGGCGCGGCGGCAGCCGAGGGGCGCCTGCAGTCACCTGCGGGACCCGGGAACACCTGAGCTGCGGGCGGGCGCGTGAGCTCGGCCGCGGCGACCACGAAGGGCCCCGAGAAAGTTGGGCTCCCAAGACGCGGCACAGGCGGCTCCCGGATGGCTTCTCCCCGGCCCGCCGGCTCAGCTACTCACCGTGCAAGGAGAGGAGCAGCAAGGGCGCCAGAGGGGAGCCCGGAGAAGTCATCCCGCGGCCGCGGAGAGCGCGCCCGCCGCCCGCCCGGCTCCTCGGTGGAGGCGCGGGCCCGCCTCTCGGCGCTCTCGGGGCAGCCCGGTCCTCCGAGACCCGCCCCCGGCCGCTGTCCGCCCGGCCGGGCTGGGACCGTCGGGCGCGCGGACGCGGCAAGTGCAGCTTCCGCGGCGCCCCGCTCGCGGAGGCTGAGCTACGGGCAGGCGCGTCCCGGGCTCGCCGGCCTCGCCCCGCGGCGCCGCGGCCACCTCGTGCTGCCCCAGGACCCGCCGGGCGCCCGGGGAGCCACTCCCCCCAAATCTCGCCCAGCTAGTCGGGCTGCGGCGGCGCTCAGCGGGGCCCCGCACCGCCCACTCGCCCCGCTCGGTCTCCCGGGCAACCGCGGCTCCAGCGCGACGCCTGGCGGCCCACCCGCGGAGCGAGCGCATCGCGCAGCTGACGCTACCCGGCCACCTGCGCGCGGAGCCGCCGGCTGCCCCGCACGCCTGGGCGGGCGCCGCGATGCGGCCGCGGACGGCCTCGGCGCGAGGGCCTCCCCTGCCGTGAGCCTCTCCCGGGCAGGGGGTGTCAGGGCTGATCCCCAAACTGCCCTAGGAGAGAGAGAGAGATCTTTCCACAACCTGTGTCCAAACCAGCAAAATTTTTTCTCTTGCAGTTTTCAGATGATTTCTATTTGGCCATTTCCTCTCTTCCGTAACTAAATAATCTGAAACAACCCGACCGGCAAAATTAAGAATCAGTGAGGTTTGTTCTATTCTACAGGTGTTTTTTCTTTTCTGACTGTCCTTCTTTCTCTGAAGGGAAGGGGCTCTACTATGCTCCTCTTCCCTGTTCCTATCAAAGAGACTTTTCGCCTTCTCTTGCCCCTTTAGTAAAACTTGGTCAATTTCTAATATTTGAATTTTTCTGTTTTAAATGTTATAGCTTTTCTTAAGCTAGTTTCAGTATTTGTTAACTAGTGATGTGGTGATTTTATTGTGGTGGTTGGGTTTTATTTTTTGTCTCTTGCTTGTTTTGGCTTGGTGAGAAGAGATACCTTCGTGGCATCTGAAATTATTTTAAATATCTACCTGCATTTTACTTTATGAAACGTTATCTTCACTGTTTTGCTATTGAGGTCTCTGGTGTCTTACAGCCCTTAGTCACTTTCTACTTCAGCCTCCAACTCAGCCCTGTAAAATTTGAGGACATACCTGTCCAGGGAATGGTCAGTTTTTCCAGCTGCATAGATTAGCACTTGGGGCCATTCATAAATTTTGAGCCCCCATCTGGCAGATACAGTCCTCCCACGGCAACTAATAAATGAAAATCGTATGCATGTATGTAAAATAAATATGGGAAAAGGCAAATATATAAAATATCTATACAACTAGACAAAGATTGGAAGATACATGTAAAAAGGAAAATAACATCAAGATGGTGGAATTATGGACTCCCCGACATTTATCCCACCTCTACCCCCTGCTGCCCCATCACCACAACTTGACCCCACCCCATCTGAGTCACAGGCATACCTCCTTTTATTGTTTGCTATACTGTACTTTCCAGATACCACCCTTTTTCTTTTTCTGAAATGCTGATGTTATAATTCAAGTTAAAAAAAAGAAATGCTGGTCACCTTTAACAAGAATACCCTGAAAAGATAGTTTGATTATAAATTAAAGATGCCACAACCTTGTTCACTACTTCATTTGCTAGAATACCTTAAGCAGATTTCTAATGACAAGAAAAAAATGATAGGACAGTATAATGTCTTTGATATCAGTAACAGAAGTTTAACACTTCAACTATGATGCCATTATTGGGCTCATTCTCATTCTTTTAAACTCTAGCGCAAAAGCTAGTTTGTTTTTTTTTCTCCACCCAGTTCAGTTCCTTACCTTGTCCTGCACATATTCCTGCATTGTAATCAAGTCCCAAGCAGGGCATAAGAGTAACATACAGAGAAATGCAAGGAACCAGTCAAGCAGCAGGTGCTACTCAGGGCAGGACTTTGCTTCATTATAATCCCAGATTTAAATGTAGAGATAGAATAGGTATTCATTAGTTAAATAAATAGCCCAATAATCTAGGTTGAAAAGCCCTGATAAAGCAAGATACCCCACCCTTAAAAAACTTTTAGTTATACATGGGATATACCTGCACTATCATTTATCAACAGAGAAAGGGCTCTCCCACCTCTTTGTCACCATAATGTCTCTCTGCCTTGCCCAACAGCAGCCAGTGAGATAGTAAGAGGACAAACTGCTCAGTTTGGTGAAGCAGCCATGTGGCTTCTGAAGGGAGAGTGGATATGATCAGATTTCAGGAGGCAATCTGGCCACCCAGAAACACTGTTGGAAGAAGTGGGGGAGGTGGGCAGATGGGGAAGATGGACTTAAAGGAGGCAGACCAGGAGTACTGGAAATTCCAAGCGTTGTACACAGAGGCTTCCAAAGGACACTCTTATAGGAAACAAAGGAGAAAAATGTGCTTTTTAATTCTCAGAGGTAATACCACTGGCATGTATTTTGAGTAAATTTTTTATTAGTAATGATGAGTTTCACCAGTTCTTGTATCCTAATCTGCCTTATGACCACAGGATTTCTTTAAATCTCAGTACTACAGCAACAGACATCATACATTTGTGTAATACTTTATAAATTTCAAAGTGATTTCACCTATATTATCTGATCTGATCTTCACAGTAACCCCAGGAAATAGGTAAAGAAGGTATTATTACCCCCTCTTCACATACAGTAAGATACTGAGTCTCAAAAAGATCAAGGGATACCTCAGTGACTGCAACCACCAGTGGGAAAAACTGGAACTGAGGTCTTCTGACATTCATCCTAGAGTTTTTTCTACCACACCACAAAGTCTTTTTCTTTTATCTCTTTATAGACTAATAGCTAAAGAAATTTATATAAACTATAAGGTACTAAAGCTGTCTGCGAGGATAGTAATTGTACTAGTGGGGGTGAAGATTTAATAATATGGGTAACTGTTGAACCACTGTGTTGTATACTTGAAGCCAATGTAAGCTTGTGTATCAATGATACTTCATTTAAGAAAAAATTTTTAAAGAAAAAAGCTGTCGGGAACACTGCAGTTGCCTCCCCGACATTTATCCCACCTCTACCCCCTGCTGCCCCATCACCACAACTTGACCCCACCCCATCTGAGTCACAGGCATACCTCCTTTTATTGTTTGCTATACTGTACTTTCCAGATACCACATTTTTTACAAATTGAAGGTTGGTAGCAGCCCTGCACCACACAAGTCTATAGGCACCATTTTCCCAGCAGCATTTGCTCATTTCATGTCTCTATGTCACACTTTGTAATTCTTGCAATATTTCAAACATTTTCATTATTAGTCTGTTTGTTATGGTGACCTACAAACTGCTGAAACTCAGATAATGGTTCTAATTTTTAGGAATAAAATATTTTTTTTGATTAAGGTATACATATATTTTTAGATATATGCCATTTCATACTTAATAGATTACAGTATAGTGTAAACATAATTTATATGCACCAGGAAATCAAAAAGCTCATTTGATTCAGTTTACTGTAATATTCATGTCACCAAGTCGAAGCTCATGCCACTTACCACATGACGAGTCAATGTCAAGAAACAAGGTGTCGGGGCAAGGAAAGTGGCTTTATTTGGAAAGTCAGCAGACCTAGAAAATGGCGGACTAATGTTCTAAAAAACCATCTTAACTTAGGATTGATTTCAAGCTTCTTATATGTTAAGGAAGGGGAGCAGGAAGTCAAGGTTAGGAGGTGACAATCAACCTCAGACATCTGGACGTCAGCACGGATCTGAGAAGGGTTGTGAAATTCCATGTCCTTGGTTAGTTGACTCCAGTCATTTTGTTGACGTGGGTCTGGCTATGATGTTCCTCTAAGTCCTTGACAATCCAGTCATCATGTTGTACATACTTCTTTATCTCCGCAGGGGAGGTGAGTTTCAGGTAAGGGGCTAGTTGCATCAATCTTAAGTTATGAGAAAAATTCCTTTTGATGATTAAACCTATGCAAGTTGCAAGGCTGAGTAGAAGCTTTTTAACCCAAAATTGAGGCAGCAAAGGAGACAGATACAGTAGAAGACAGAGGTGCCCAGCTTTTCACTCTGTTACATTCACTTTAGAGCAGTTACATTCTGGAACAAAACCTGCAATATCTCCAAAATATGCCCATAGCTGTAAACCCTGGATGAGACTGGCCCCACCCTCACCCCAAGGGGAGCAATGTACTTGATCTTTCTGACCAAGGAAGAAATGGAGAGGGGAATGACTGGGACAAGAAGCCCTGGGGTAAAAGATTCAGCTATAGTATAATAATAATAATCTTGGCTCAAACACATGGATGACATGAGAACACAGTCAACTTCTAAATATCTAAATATGAATTATGCAAATTCAAACTTTAATCCTAGACCAGCTTTTCTCCTCCACCCATCAAAAGGCTGGATCATCTTTTTCTACAATCAGTTACATTTCCAAGAATGGAAAATTAATTTTATTATTAGCTTGGGATAAAAATAATTAAGAAAGAAAAACAATGGAGAGAATTTGAAGGCTTTCCAAAGCTATACATAAATTATTTTTAATCAGCTATTTTAAATTAGTAGTGCCACCTACCCCCCTCCATTCATGTATATAAAAGTAAAGATTAATTGCATTTAAGTTTTTGAGGTCTATGCATGGTTTATAAGAATGTCATTCTTAAAGTTAGAATATATTTTTTTGACCTTGTTTGAGCTAGAAACTCATTCTGTAACTATTTTAACCCTGCTGCTTAGAACCATATCTAGTCTAGAGTCAAGCTTGGTCATTTAAGTAAAATTTGAGAGTTCTCCCCATTCCTCCCCTTCCTCTAAAATAGCAACAAAGGAGTGGCAAAGATAATCATGTAAGCCTTAGAGCAATTAACAAGCCAGTAAGTGTTTGTTGTATGTTAAAACATAAATAGACTATGTAATATTTTAAAACCTCTTTTTAAATTTGGAGTCAATTTATAACCTAGATACGTTGACAGCTTAGTCTTTCTTGTATCTGTTTATCTGTTTCTGCCCCCTCCTCTGGTAACTCTTGCTTTACACAGAGGTAAACAGCCTCTCTGTTCCCCTCACCTGGCCTAATCCTTATCATTGCCAACACTGCCGAAGCAAAGTTTTACTATATCTACATCTATTTAGGGAAAACTTGGCTCTTCTCCTTGAAATCCTTTTAATGTGAACACATTTATTTTCAAGCAAAGTTACTTTCTGATCAGGGCCCATTGTGACAAAGTGCTATTGAA